ATAAGAAATAAAAAGAATAAATATAGGAAAGAAAATACTAACATAATTATCATTTGCAGATAACAATATCTTTTTAAAAAATTTAAGAGAATCAGCTGAAAATCTTAAGTTTCAGTAAGATCTTTTAGCAAGGTTTGAGATGCAAGGTAAATATAAATCGATAGCTTTCCAGTATACAGCCAATAACTACTTAAAAAGAAAATAAAGGCTATCAATGATAACCACGAAAATTACACAAATCTAAGAAAAAATTAATCAGAAAGGTGCCAGATATATAAAATATTTTACTTTACACAAAAAGTTACTCACCATATTTCTGATGGAACAACCAACCCACAATTATAATTAGGCAGTTCTTGCCATTTTACATTCAGTGTGATTCCTGTAAAATCCCAATGGGGCTCTTTCTAGAATTTGAATTCAGAATACATTCTAAAGTTTGGCCAATAACATATGTAAAAATAGGCAAATAAATAAATACATAAAAAGCACTACAGTACATGTTGTCTCATATTTCTGAAACATATGCAACTTACATTAGCTAGGACAGTTTCCTTAAAAAATAAGGATTTTTAAATATTAGATATGACTATATGCTCTTTTCTATTTTAAAAAATGACTAAGATAAAATTATAATGATTGAAAGAGAGGAAGTGCCAAGGTGAAGGCAAAGAGGAAGTTTGAGCAAGTATAAGCAAAGACCTTTCTAGTGTTTAAAAAAACAACAAACGAACAAAAGAGAGGAAGTGCCAAGGTGAAGGCAAAGAGGAAGTTTGAGCAAGTATAAGCAAAGACCTTCCTAGTGTTTAAAAAAACAAACAACGAACGAACAGAAAACCTTATGTCTGCCGACAAACAAAATTTAAGGGATTCCCAGGGGTACTTGTTCAATGCAGATGCTGAATTGCCTCTTCACAGGTGATTTAAAGGCAAGTTTTAAATACCTTACATGCCAACCAGCTTACGAAAGTCATTAATTAAACACTAAAACCAAAATCTATAAGAATATTTTTCAAATATTTTTGTTAGAATCAAGACAAAACCCTCTAAGCTCTAAAGAAGAAAACAAAAGCATAACCTTTATCTTATGACCCGAGGTCCTGTCAGTTATGTATCTTACAGCAGTCCTTGAAGACACATATTTGAAAGTCAGCAGCCTACAGTTGCAAGGACTTATGCTGAGATACAGGCACCGTCTGTGTGAAAGAGTTCAATAATTTGGCTTCATTTTAAAGCCATCAGTGCATCAGTGAGATGTTTTTGTAGTTCTTATGCTTTTTTATATTTGATATCTTTACTCTTTGGGAAGTTTGTTTTAGAGTATTACATTTTTAACCTAGATATAAATTATTTTTTTTACCAAAACACTTTAGTCATTATGTCTACGGTAACACCAACTCAGGGAATCCTTACCACAACAATTTATAGGTCAGTACCTACTCCCAGATGAAGAATGAGATGATCTATTACCTTAGTAGCTTCTTCAGAAATCCAGGTTAAAAACATTTTGCTTTGAAAAGAATGTTAGCATACTCTTTCCAAGAGTTAACATCACCTTTGATGGAGGAAAAGTATTGTTGTTGCCCAAATATAATCAGACTTTTTCTCTAGGAAACTAGGCAGTTTGGATGGATTCTTAACCTTGAAGGGGAAAAAATATTTTTATTCCCCGAGAACATTCTTCTGTCTACATAGATAATAAAATAGGGCTTAGCAAAGTATTCATATAATTAGATTGTAGAGTGCTTATAATCAAGGCCCAATTTTTTGAAGTAATCATCAATTTCTTTTTTTTCTTTTTTTTTTCCTTTTTTTTGTCTTTTTTTACTGACCGGTTACGGGATCGCAACCCTTGGTGTTGCGCCCGTACCGGGGACTGGCAATGGGATCGCAACCCTCAGTGTTGCGCCCGCACCGCGCTCAGCCAGTGAGCGGGAACCCGTCTCCACATGGGATGCGAACCCTCGGTGGGAGCACCGCCACACTCCCAAGCGGCGCACTCTCCAGTGCGCCACCGGGCCAGCCCGTAATCATCAATTTCTAATTCATAAAGTATGTTTGGAAATCACCTGAGTGTACTCATTCTTTGAACACATACTTATGGAGTGCCTATTCTGCACCACTACTAGTATCTATGTTAAGGTTGCAGTCTTAAAAACTAAGAGAAAGATGTTGGGAAACCTAAAGCATCGTTGAAGGATATGTGTGTGTGTGTGTGTGTGTGTGTGTGTGTGTGTGTGTGTGTGTGTTTAAATAAGCTGCTCTGTACTTGGCAAGGCTTTGGGGGTGCTGTCTTTCACTTGTAGAACTTGTGATTAGAGCAACTTCTGGTAGTGCTGAGGTTCACGGTGAATCAGACACTGGCCCCAATGTAACTTACAAAGTCCTATCTCAGGTCATCAAACAGAAGTAACTTAATGCACTCTATCCCAATTCTTTATTAAGTTTAAGAAAGGGACTATACATATTTTTTGGTGTTTTGGTTATGTATTGATTGTCTTTAATCTTAATAAGAGCTAATATGAAAGAATCGTTTCTTTGACAGTCTTCACATTCCCCCCATCCTGGACTCTGGTTTTGCTCTGTCCAGGTTTGTAACACAAAGTTACTTATGATCTCAGCTTTCTTCCAGTAAACTGGAGACACAAAACCTTTAAGGAAGTGTGAGGGAAGCGGGCAGAATGAGACCAGACAAAAGTCTGTTCTAAGCCGTGAGAGTCCCACTGTGGAGCCAGAAGAGCGATGTGTTTGTGTTGTCCCCTGGCCAGGCCTGCTGGACCCTGTTGCCTGTGGGAGCCCAGTTAGAGCTTCCCTTCTTGGGTTTCCCTCAATGCAGACCTGCCAAAGGGAGGCAAAGTGAGTCTCCCTGGGCCTTCACTCTGCATGGCCTGGCTGTAGGAACCCGGGTTTTGGTGCATGTTCCTCACTGATTATTTGGGTGAGCACCAGGGAGATGCTCATGAATCCATTTAGCCCTGGGGATCAGCCCTGGCAGAGCCCAGGATACTGCTTTTATGAATCCACTCCCCACAACAAGTCAGCCAGCTCTTACTCCAGAAACACAGCATTTCGTTCCCACTGCCTTCCTTGAAGTTTTACCCCACGTTGGGGCAGTTTGAGGTTGTTAGTTGGGCAGACCCCAGTGGCCAGAGTTTCCACAAGAGAGGGGGGTCATCGGCCCTTTCCCTGCAGATTTGAAGCAGGCATGAGGCCTACTGCTGCCTGGAATCACCCCTTCCCCAGCCCCATCTTCCTCCAAGAACCTTTATGTGTCTTCTACATGACTTAAAAATAAATCATTGTTATTTTTCCTTTTTAAACGAAGAGCTAAAAATAGTCGGTTATGAAGATCTGAATGTAATCTTAGACTATATTTCTAAAATTAGAGAGGCATTAGTCCTGTTTTACTTCGTAATGTTCAAACCTTGCTTTAGAGTATTGGGGTTTGTGTTTAAAGAGGAATATAGAGGCCTGGGGTGGGGAATGGGGAGGTGGAGGGGAAGTGGCAGAGTAACCAGTACAAAACTATGCTATCTGCCCTAAGTGAATCATTGTGCAGTGTATGCATGTATTGAAACACACATTGTACCCCACAAATATGTACAATAAATATTAAATAATAATAAAAATAAAGAGGGATGTAGACAAACTGGCAACCACTCAGAGGGGAACAGCCAGGACAGTGAGGGAGCTTGAAACCATTCCATATGAAAAATGGTCAAAGGAGCTAAAATATTGATCAGGAATAGATGCCTTGGGGGATATAAGATAGTTATTTTTTAATGTTTTGATGACGCATCTTGTGGAGGAGAGAGTAAAACTGGTCTATCTGTACCCATAGAGATAGAATTTACAGGAAATAAAATATTTCTACCTAACACCGGAAGATATTTCCTTGTTTAATCCAGAGATGGACTGGGCTTCACAGGGAAGTGGTTCTCAGTGCCTCCCATCTTTAAGACCGTTTCTTCCGAGGGTAGCTGGACAAGTCACACTTAGTCATTCCTCACACACCTCTGTTTCTTCCTCACCATTTAGATCCATCTCCATCTCTCCAGCTGCACTTCATCATCCTGCCCCTGGAAGACTGCAGTCCCCTCCTGACTGGTCTCCACATGTCCAGTCTGGTCTCCTGCAATCTGTTCATCATCCTGCAAAAAAGTGTGGGCTTTACAAAATGCACATCTGATCTTTTCACTACATCCCACTGCCCATTCCTTTAACTTCTTCTCATTGCTTGGAAAGATAGAACCCAAAAGTATAACGTATGGTCAGGCCCACAGCCCCCCAACTTCATCTTGCTCCACGTAGCTCTCATTACTCCAGTCACTCTAACCTGCTTTGAGTTTAGGGGAATATCTCTTACAACAAGGCATTGCACATAAAAGTCCTTCTACCTGGAATTTCTACTTGCTGCCCTGATTCCCTGGCCAATTCATTGATCCTTAGGATTAGAAGCTCAACTCCCCACCTTCCAAACCAGCACCATGAAGACTTCTAAAACACACTCTCAAACAACCATGGTGATTTGCTTATTAATACCCCTCCCATGTTGTAACATTTTTTTCTGTGATTATTTGGTCAATTCCTGTCTCCCGTATTATACAGTTAGTTGCATAAGGTCTCATATTGATGCACAGTGGGTGCCCTCATGTATTTACCGAGTGGGTGAATTAGTAAGGGTCTTGTGGGTTTTCGAGAGAATCTGGATATTTACTTGGACAGGGTAGCAAAAAAGTATACAAGTGGCCAAACAGATGGTTATTACGATCCCTAGCAATCTTGGGAGTCTTTGCTTTTTGTGTATTTGATGTGCCATTATTCTTTAGGTGAATTAGTAAGGGTCTTGTGGGTTTTCGAGAGAATCTGGATATTTACTTGGACAGGGTAACAAAAAAGTATACAAGTGGCCAAGCAGATGGTTATTACGATCGCTAGCAATCTTGGGAGTCTTTGCTTTTTGTGTATTTGATGTGCCATTATTCTTTATTATTTTTCAGGGTCTACAAAACTACCTATTAATGACACTTGCGTTTTGCATCATCGTGACTGGAGCATTATGCACTGCTTTTTCTAAAATCTAACACTCACAAGACCAGCAGATGGTAGCCATGGTTGAGAGAACATCTCTACTGGACACTGGAGAGATTTTGCTGAGAACAGAGTTCATTTTCACACAGCAAATGGATCTCAACCAATTTTGGAGTGGGGTAAATGATTTTTTCCCCACAAATGTGAGAATGAAGGAAAACAGTTTCAGCTTAATATAAAAATGAAAAATTCTTCTGATGAACGATTTGTGACGGTAGGACTTTACTGGGTGACTAAAATATGTATATTATTATAACATTATATCTGATGGTGCTCCTTTTACCACAATACATACCTAGTGTTGCAAAAATCTAGAAAACAGTTCATATACAAAGAAATTACAGTCCAAATTTCTAACTTTTTACCTTCATTCATGAAGAGAGGCAGAAATATTTTATGAGGGGAGAAGGGAGAGGACGTACCTTATAACGGAATTAGATTACAAAGATATTTGGATCTTTTGCTGGATAAAGTGAATGTCATGGTTGATAACTGATGTTAAAAAGACTACGTTTTTTATTTTTTGCCTAAATTTATTTTTACTTGAAATGAATATTGCCCAACTCTACATTATCCACCCATCTTAGCTCGAAGTGCTTTTGATTTTCTGCAGATAAAATTCATCCTCAGAGAACAGAAATTTCCCACCACTGAGAATATATATGCATAATTATAATACCTATATACACAAGCACACACACATACATAAATACACACACATAGATGTATGTACTGTTCCAAATTTGAGGGAAATTCTAGGGTCACTAAGGTGAGGTTCTAGCTTGTCAGTGACAATTGAAAGGGACCAACGATCTTTTGAATGTACGATTATTTGTTTCTGAAATATACTTTTCCCAAATCCTTTCAACTGAAGGCTTTTCTGTTTGCTTTCAGTTTTAGCTGGTGGTTTCCAGTAGGCAAAATAAAATGATAGACATGCTTGTTTTATTTCTTTAAGAAAACTGAAGTGGAATTGCTAGTCAGTATTTGTTACGAAGGTTTCCAAAATCTAAAAATAATAGAATTCCTAATCAAATGTGAAATTTACCCATTCCCAGCTAGTACATTACTTTGCCTGTGCAGGAGAAACAAAACACTATTCTACTTAAGTGCAGGAATTCTGAAGCCAACCTGCATGGATTTAAATCCCACCCCACTTCATCTTCATGTGTGACTTGGGACAGGTTCCTGAGCCCCTGTCTCAGATTCCTCATCTGTAAACTGGGGTTAATGATAGTGTTTGTCTCACATGGTTATTACATGGTTGAAATTAGTTAAAATCTTGAAATCCGTCCATGAGTGTCTGGTACTTGGCAAACACTATATAATTGTTAACTATTATCAATATGTGTTGTTGGAGAAAGAAAACAAATGTCTATAGAATGGAGAATACCTTGTAAAAGCGACTGCTCTCACTACCGCCCCATCCAAACAATTACTTGTTATTCTTTCATATAAATACTATTTTGAAATGATACTGGAGTCTCTGTTTCATTATTGAATTGCTAATACAAATAAAATTTGATTGTAACTTCTTATACTCATTTTAATTTTAATCTGAAATGTCATTAAATGATGCTAGTAAACTTTGAATAAACTGACAGGATACAAATGCTATTTTTCTCGCTTAAATATATTTTAGAATTTTATGTTGGAGAGCTTTTAATTGCCAATTGACCTTGCCAGTTTATATGCAAATTTTTAAATGTGAAGTAAAGCAGTTGCAAAGAAAAATGAAAGAAAAAAAATCTTATTCCTTAGAAATAATTAGGCTAAATAAACAAAGACAATCACAAACAACAACAACAAAAAAA